AATACTCACAGTTGGTCTTACCCATTAGACCAGAATATCATACAGTTCAAACCAGCATCTTTTGAAATCATTACCAGACATCCAAGTGATTTCAGTAGTTTTCAGCTATTGATCCTAATTTGCTTTTCAGGGGTGGAGAAACATTATCCTCTGTCTTCCAGGAAGAGAGAAATGAGTTATACAGATTTGAGTAACAGAGCTGTAATTCCTGGACGTAGAGGTGCTGAGCTGTGCTAATACTCAGCTACTAGAACACAAATGCAGAACAGTTTCTGCTAGGAGTCCTCATTCAGGGGGCAGTGCAGCATGTTGTAGGCACACTGAAGAACTTAGTGGTGCCTTAGAACAAGTCAAAGGCTATTGACCAGTCAGAGCATCTGAAAAACTGTGTTATTTGAACTTGTCCTATAAAGTGGTCAGTTTACCAAGAAGGAAATCTCACTTTCTTCAAAACCTGTTAACTGGAAACCACAAGGCTTTGAAGATGGGAATACTAATAAAATTAAACTAAGCAGTGTTACAGTGTGATGAACAACAAACCACTAGTCTAAGTCTCAAATGGCTGGCATTTCCAAGTCTAGGGATCTAGATGCCTGGGCTGTAAATATGTAACTCCAGTCCAGCTGCTCTAAGCACCTGAGCCTCTGCCATAGATGCATGTTCTGTTCCTGTTAGCCCTGCCTTTTGTGTCGGCTGAGTGCCCATGTGCCTCTTGGATAGCTCTTCAGTGGTCTCTTTTCTAGAAATGATAGCCGTTGAAAAGGAGCAGTTAGTACAAATTTTGCCAGTAACCTGCAGCGGAGCAGTGCATGTAGGAGTCTCAAGTGTTACTCGCTCTCATTTTGTAACAGTCTGGACTGAAAATGAAGTGATGTGTTTGCTTTTTTGTTTCCTCAGAGAAAATTGATTAATTCATTCTCTGGGCTGAGATAGCTGTTCATGAGCCACATGAAAAAGGAAATTCCCTGTTGATGCTTTAAGGCCCAGATTTTGCAAAGAAGAAAGGGAGGAAATCTAAGAGCATGTGCCAGGGTTTTTCTGCCAGGCACAAAGATGTAGTGAGATCATGTTCATGGGTGCAACCTGGCTTGTTGGAGAGCAAGAGAAGGACTGTAGAGTTGGTGGGAGTAGGGAAGAAGCCTTTCCTGTTCGGATGGAAAAGCACAGAAGCTGGAGAAGAGGTAAGAACAGAGCAAGAAGCAGAATCCACATGGGTCCTATTCCCAGCTGGAAACTTCCAAGGAGCAAGAAGGTTTCCTTTGCCCTGTATGCATGGATTCCTTACAAATATCAACAATGTTGCTGGGGACCTGATTATTTGCAGTAGCACAAACAACGTCAAGTGAAACAAGCATGCAACAAAATATCATGTATATCTTATCATGTATACATTTATCCCATGTCTCTAAACACTTAACTCACGCAGTTACTTAATTACAAGCAGTAATTCATGGCTAACAATTACATGTCTTATCAGGAATGCTCATTTTTAGCAGAGGGTCTGGGAAGTGACAAGGAAGTGGCAGGTTGTGAAGTGAATCCCTGAGAATTGGTAAAATAAACATTCTGTCTGCATGTATTTTAGGCCATTTCAGAACACAAACATGCCTCTAGCACAAGACTTTATCTGCCAGCGACTTCTGAGCCAACACATAAGAGGCTGCAGTGCTTTTCCCAGCATGCCTCTGAAACTAGTCCTGCAAATGACAAGAGGCAAGTAGGGAACGAGAAGGTATTTTGGATGCTAGTTAGCAAATTCTCACTTAAATGAGAAGAACAACCTAAAGGAATTGTAGCTGACCTTCACACTAGCTGGAGCAGAAGGTTGTTATTAAAGGAACCAGTGAGGGGAACAGTGCAGTTATTCAATATAATGGGTCACACAAGTCTATGTGTAGTTAAAAATAAAATCCATTACCCAGGAAAATCAGCTCAAATGAGTCCATATCACTGAATCCTCACTATATTTCCTCTTGCAGAGCTATGCCAAGCCCTATGTTTTTACGGTTCTGCCCTGCCACTCTGTCAGGTATTCCTGAACACTTTGCGACCTCTCATGTGTTTATTCTCCAGCACCTCAAGAAAGAAGGAAGACCAAGTATTCCCCTTAACTAGGAAAGGGACTGGGGTTCACAAACAGCTTTTCAATGAAAGGAGCTCTGAAAGAAGGTGAGATTGCCACAGGGTTTTTAAAAGCCTCTAAATAGTCATCTTCACTGGGCATTATGTATCAAATCCACTCAAGCTTTTTTTAAACTTCCAAGTATAAGTGACCTGGCTCAGGTCCCAGAGGAGGTCTGACCTTCCCTTGTGCTCCTGACATCCCAGCATTCATCCTCAGCTGGCACTTCACCCAAGCCTTAAACAAGGAAGCAGCACAAAGCATCAGCAAGCTGAGTTAGCTGCAGGTTGGACAAAAAGAGGTGGGAAATTGAGGGGGCAGGATGCCTGACTCACCTCTGCAAAGCTGATAAGGGTAAAGAGACTTGGTAAGAGTGTGCGTGGACATTTTAGGTATTTCAAGGCTTCACACTAATAATGCTTTTGCCATTCTGCACCCTACCTAGTTATCAGCTGTAACTGCAAACTGACATTAATAACCTTGAACATTTCTGGTTGCTTATGTGGCCCTGATTTCCAAAAGTGTGCAGCACATTCTGAACAATAGGCCTTGCCAAAGCCATCCCTTTCTTACTTCTTGTCTGGGAACTAGCTATGACCCAGTTTTGTACTTGAAAGTGTTTTGCCTTCACGACAGCTACACAGGAGAAGACTTCAGAGTAAAAGGCGTAGATTTGTCATAGTCATAGGAATCACAGTTTCCAAGACTGGGCCTGTTCAGGATGGCATGTTACAGGACTTGCCATGTGTGACAAAGCCTTTGTGCAAAGCTTTCAGTATTTGTCCTCCACCAAATCAAGGACAGCTTCCTTTGCTAGACACAAAAGACCTGGGCTGTCAGCGGAGGTTCAGTAGAAGTGCCTTGTCCAGGAGCAGGGATTGCCAATCCCTGGCAAATCAGCCAGCAGCTTCTTCCAGAAGATATGGAGAGTTTGCTTTAGAGGAGCTGACACTAGAGATACTTCTGGCAATACTACGACAGGATCAGCTGAAGTCTTGGAAGGAATCAGGAGTTTAGAGGAATTAAAAAAAAAAAAAAAGCTAACTCTATGTGTCCAACACGCAGTTAGCATCTGCATCAGGTTCATATCTTATCAAAGGAGAGTTATTTATCACAGCTTGCCCTAGTCACCCATGTGCTTTGCTGCTGTTCAAAAATGTTTGTGTAACAGCAAATTCAGTGATAGAATCCTTATGCATTCATCCTTCATCATCAACCTAAAACTGATGTGACTGACTAACTGATGTTGGTGTTCTTAATCTTCTTAATCTTCTATAGCAATCCTGCTACAAAGTGAATGCAAACTCAAATCTTAAGCTAATATAAGCAGTTGACAACAGCACTGAAGTAAGACAAATCTAACTGAGGGTTTGATCTGCAAAAGTTTACCAATAAGTACGTATATGTGTGTGTCTGTGAGAAAGAGAGAGCAAAACAACAATCAAACCTTGAATTCTTTTCAAATAAATCTTGCTTTCAGGTGTTCACTTTTTATTTCTACTTCATATAAACTGCATCTAGAATCCTTACAACAGCTCCTTTCCAGATGACATTTTGCAAGTAAAAATTGATTTCCCCATAACCTAATACGTATAGCTAGTTTCTAACTCTAATACACACTTAAAAAAACTGATCTTTTCTTAATTCCTGAACAATCTGGTAGAACACAATTTACAAAATACAATCAAGACTGATAACAAAGACTAATCCTGAAAGAGCCTAGACATCAAATCAGTACCATCAATTCCTACTTTCTTTGTAAATTTTTTCTAAATCACCAGCTCCTGGAGCCATACAATTAGATAAGAAATTCCACGTTTTGTGTGTGTATGTGTGGTTTTTTTTTCAATAGCTGTCTAACCTTGCTGAATCCAAACAGTCTTGTTCAAATATCCTTAAAGTCCTGGAAAGTACCAGTGGAATGAAAGCAAATCCTCTAGTTATGATTACTTTTCAAATGACGTAATATTAGAAGCTAGATGCATGATTTATATACATATATACAAGTTCATATCAAAGGACACAGAGCTTAGGGACATATCCTCATAGTTCTTTCAAATTGAAGGAAGTGTACTGATTCCCAACAGGATCTGACATCCAGTGCTCAGGTAAGGGTCAGTACAACTCTAGTCCTCCCACTAGTGCACACCCACCAGTTGTTCTTTACCAGCATCACGATGTCATCATCTGATCAAGGATCACTTACAGATCCATAGTTCATCGTAACCACACAGATTATATAATAATGTTCATGCAGACCTCTTTCTCCCTGCTTAGAGAACCAGGTAATCTCACCTTTGACTGGCAGCACAAGGAAGCATTTCCCACCTGCCAGCATTTGCCACCTTGTATTTTTCACTGCAGGTATCAAAAGGGAGACGAAAATAACAGAAGTACATAAATAAATGGAAGTATCCTGATAAAAATTCAGCATCTCCCAGGAGTACTCTGGATTGCCATGATTTAAGACATTGAAGGTCAGATGATATTTCGCAACCAATTCCCAGTAACCTCACAACTGAGACATGGCACAGAGAGACACAACACATTCAGAGAAAAGAGGTGGGTTACACCAATGCCTGTGATAAAAGGGGAAAGCCTGGCACAGTCCAAAATGAAAGTATCCCCAAGCTTCAAACAAGGAGGCTGGAGGCTTTTTCAGCATCCCAGGATAAATAATTTGCTTTGGTAGTCAAAATGTCAGATTATGTTTAGCGGTGGGGAGTCCAGTCTTTCTTTACTTAAGAGTGCTTTACATCTCCTCTTCTCTTTTCATCATAGTAATTTCTATCTTGTGCTGACATTGGTGCAGAGCATTTACAAAGTGCTAAGCTTTCTTTCTGAAATGCTGTCTTTTTTTCCCTTTTTGAAAACTCACCAGGCACCATTCCTGTCAGTGTTGGAGCGGAGTAGCTGCCCTGTCCAGCAGGGGGGACGTGAGGAGGGTATCCTGGGAGGGTTGTGCTTGCCAATTCACGACCTGAGAAATCAAACCAACAAATCACCATGTGAGCATGCACAACAACTAAGCATGGTTTTACATCTCCCCAAACACTCAGAACACAGCCGTGCATTTGTCATAACTGCATTGTGAATACCAAAGTGGGATTTTTAGCTTGGCAGGGAAAGGAGAGACAATTTCCCTTTTTCTATAAGCTGCCATAAAGCTCTGACAAAATGAGAGACAGAAAGAGGAAGAATAGAGCTCTGCAGACAGAAAAACACACTAGTTTGAACTCTAGCTGTTCCTTCCCTATTCCCAAGTTTCTCTGATGCTCAGGCTTGTAAAGTCAGAAACAGAAAAATGGGAAATGACACTGACTTTAATGGGATTTTACTAGAAAGCTCTGTAGAAAATCAGCTCTCCGATGCACAAGAGTGATGGTTTGAAAAGGTCTTCTGAATTAAGTGCAGGACATTATTTTCATCTATTATTAAAGATAGCATTAACAGAAATTGGGACCTGAAGTCAATTTAGAAAATAGTTTGTTGTGTCCCCAGAAGAAGGAGAAACAGCATCACAGAGTTACAGCCTGATAAAAATTTTTTTACTTAGACCTCAGAACCTGTAATTTTATTCAAGGAATAAGACTGACATTTCCCATTTTTCCCGTGAGACTTAAACTCTTAAAAGCTAGCTTTTCTGTTTACCAGGGCTCCTGGTTGTCCCATCATCCAAACTTGACCAGACTGTTCTTCAACTTCCTTCTGGTGTAAGTGCCCCAACGCAGTCCCCACAGTCTTTCCACAGAAATAAGCCTGCCTCTTTATCTCACTCTAATTCATAATTTGGATGTGATCGGGGCATGCACCTTGACCAGAGAACTGAGGAGTCCTCCTAGGCCCCTCTCTTCAGACACACAGTCTTCAACACTAACCAGGACACATAGCTGCCTGCTAAACAAAGCCAAGAGCTACAAATAAAATAGCTTACAAGACACATTACAGAAGTCCAGACCATGCCTCCCACAGTTCAGACCCCGAGGATAACCCTGTTCACAGCCTGCAGCAGATGCAGCAGGATTTCTGGGAAACCATTATCTGTTGTGGTTTGTCACTTCAGACTTTCACAAGAAATCTAGCAGAAAAAAATGGATAAATCTGTAAATCCCACTGGGAAGAATCCAACATTAATAGCCTTTCATTAAAGAGTGGGGTCCTGGATTTAACTCACGGCCTTCTCCTGGATGACCATTGCATGCCTGGATAAATTTCTTCACGTATAAGTTGCTTTCAAAGTTCACTCTTACATAGGGTAATGTATAAGCGAGACCAAGAAGGACCTTTAGCTGGACATACTCACTGCTACCCTGTAGTAGTGTGTACCACATACTTTGCTCATGCCATGACTTTGTTATCTGAAAATCTGAGTCTCCATGCTGGTGAAAGGTGGTACTTCTGGCTGTGTAAGCCAGCCTGCGAGGTAGTAAGTATCCACAAGGGGCTAGGCTAGGCCTGATTTCCACCAGTGCATTTTGCACCTTTTGGTCCAAAGGTGAGGAAGACCACAAGCGTAGGAGAACTGAGAAGACCCTCACAGCATAGATTTAGCCACTCCAGACAAATTGCAGAGTCAAAGACAGTGGCATAGCCTAGCCTATTATGGTCTAAAAAGCTAAGTACATGCTTCAACTGTGAGCTTCATCTCTGGTCAGACGAAAGAAAAGACTCCTGTACAGGGTTTCACCTGCTTCTGTTTCCCTCTGGCAAATGCAGGAGAGAGCTCCTGTTCTCCTATCCTAACTATGCACTTGCTGCCTTGGTGCCTCCACCTCTCAAACCTGTGTGTATCCACATCAGGATTATGGAAGTGAAGATTGCACATGTTATTGGCATAGTATCACTTTTGCTGTCACTGTAGTGCCCCTGTACATGAGCTCTGAATGTAATACACAGCACATGGCAGTGACTTCTTGGGTTCTGGCCAGCAGGATTCGAGATGCCTGTAGCCCAGCTCCACCTCCTACACAGATGTCATGGTAGGAATATAATCATCAATGCAATTCAGGATTTCTTCTCATCAGCTTGCTTAAGCCTGCCAGATAGTCATGGCTTCAAAAAGGGAGACAGTAGTTTTCCCGTATAGTTTCTTTATTCCAGCTGTCCATTTCTGTGTTATTTGTTCTTAGATGGGCATTTAAGGCTGTTCTGCCTCCCCTAACAGCAACATGTGCCTGAGGACATACTCAGCAGGTTCTGCACAGGACAATGGGGTCAATGACTTTGCCCTCTGTTGGACTCTGTCGGATGGTATGCTGTGCCATGCACTTGGCCTGTTCCTCCTTGTATCAAGGCGAGCACCCCACATATAGTAGTCAACGCCATCTAGATTGGATAAGAAAATCCAAGAGGTAAGGACTGAAGTGGAACTCATCCACCAAAAGCCTGACAAGCTAAGACAGAAACAAGGACACAGTGCACAAAAGGCCCAGCAAGGACTGCAGTCTTCAAAACTAGGACCAGTCCCTAACAGAATCAGACAAATTACTTTGAGTGAAGGGTTCTTCATCAGAATATGATGTTTCAGATGAAAAAGACATACTGTAAGACTTTGTTGATTTTAGTGACACTAACAAAAAGAAATCTACACATTGTCATATTGAAATGCTTTGATTAGAAGTTTAATTTGAAGGGTTTTTAAAGTTTTAAGAGTTTCAAGAGGTCGAAACGTCTGGTTGAAATTAAACATATTCACATGAGTAAAAATAATTTTTTAACTTTGTTGGTTGCAGAAATTTTGAATACTGGTTGCATTTTGAATTAACCTAAGATTAAATTTTAAAATTCTATTTTCATTATCAAAGAAATTAAACATCATTTGATGAAATGTAAAAAGGGATATTGCAAAGTGCTATTCACCCCTCCTGGGTCTTTATCACAAAGGCTGCTACCCCTCACCATCCCCTCCCATCAAATGAAAGGGATCTGTATGTAGCAATTCCAAGATTGTGTGTCCGCAATGATACCTAAGCATATACTTCGCCTTCCTTGCACTCTGTACCAAATAATCAGGATGTTTGCAGTACTCCTCCAGCCCTCCCTACAGAATATTTGTTGTGCACCCACATCCTGAAAGAATTTAAGGTTCAAAACAATTGATTGATTTTCACTCCATTTTTAAAGGGAAGCAAGATCCCTTATGGAAGGATATAATGAATCTAATTATTACATTCACACAGAAAATGACTTTTAGATTAAAATGTTCTCCCCCTATCATTGCCCTTTTTCCCTGCCTCCCATACAACATTAAAGTCTGTTTATGTCATCTCTACAGTCTAGAGAACACAAAAGTGTCTGTGATCTGCTTAAATTTGATCACAGGAAAAAAACTTTACTCCTACCACTCACAGTAAGCAGCTATCACTTGACTAAGGAGTGTATCAGAAACAGTTTGATATTTGCTTTGGTGCCTCTGTTCACAACAAAAAACATTGGGATTCCTATAGATAGCATGTTATCACAGTAATAATAATACAATATGCCATGGAGATGTACCCAGCATTTTGGAGTCCCTCAGTGAGGTCAGGTGTTACATCAGTCCAACAATCAGAAATGACCTTTCTGCCAGGCAGGTGCTGTTGGTAACCACCTGCCATGTTGCTAATGTGTTGATCACTTATCTCTTTTGAAGGTCTCACTGAGGTGAGATAGAGATACTGTATTGGTTTCATATTTGTAAAATCACAGAATCACAGAATGGTTTAGGTTGGAAGGGACCTCTGGAGATCACGTGGTCCAACCGCCCTGCTCAAGCAGCAACCTCTAGAGCATCTTGCCCAGGATCACATCCAGACGGGTTTTCAATATCTCCAGCGAAGGAGACTCCACCACCTCTCTGGGCAACCTGGTCCAATGCTCTGTCACCCTCACAGTGAAGACGTTTTTTCTCAGGTTCAGGTGGAACTTCCTGTGGTTCAGTTTCTGCCCGGTGCCTCTTGTCCTGTCACTGGGCACCACGGAGAAGAATCTGGCCCCATCCTCTTGACACTCCCCCTTCAGACACTTATACACGTTGATGGCAAAATGGCAAGCACTTTTCTGGATGGTAGAGCTTTTTGCTGCTGCAACTAGAAAAACATAGCTCAAAATAAAACAGAGCAGAGCCAGGGTTCTTGGCTTTCTCATAGTACCGGACAACAGGTACACTTCACTTAAACCCCCTTGTCCCTGGAAGTCTGAGGGCAGTGTGAAGCTGGAGAAATTAGCTCGCCTTTTATGGGAGAGGAAGAGCAACTAAACCTAGAAGGATTCAGTGTAATTCACCTCTCTCAGCAGCAATTCACTACTTAATTCTCAGCTTTCACTTTTGCAAAGTGAAAGCCCAGCAGGACTTGTAACTTCAGTGATATCTGCTGACCTGCAGTCCAGTATGCCAATAGGATGGCATGCCACAAGTCAGGATGCACCTCCTACCCATGGGCGGTCACAGCTCATCTGTAGTGCAATTAAAAATTTAATGTAAAGAAAACAATTACCTGTAATTTTCATGTGATCTGCATTCTGTCAATTTTATACCAGATTAATGGGTAAAAAAATGGCTGAAGTAAGTGATAACCCATTTGCCACCAGCGATCAATCACTCCTGCACTGTGAAGCGAGTACCACTGCTAACTGAAACTCCAGTATTTCTTTTTCCTTAAAATTTAGAGTGAACATGAGAGGAAAGATCAGAACAAAGAATTCCGAGTACTAAGGCTCCATCTCTATCAGCTCAATAAATCCAATAACAAAGCAATGTAAAACAGATTGTGGAAGCCTGTGGAGTTTATAATACCACAGTTTAAAACATCAGCAGACAGTTCATGCAGCTCACCATCCTCACTGGGGATGGGAAGATAACCTTGTGTCACAGTGAACAGGGCTGACAGTATGTCATTGTCAGTGACAGAGGGAGCATATACAGCTCACTCTTTTCTATTGGAAACAGGACTAGTGACTAACCTGGATAATTGATTAGCTGACAAATACCTGTTTACATTT